AAAAAAAAAAAAAGAAGGCATTATTTCTACTGCGGCTTCTTGAAAAATATTTATTTAATAATCATGGAGTAAGCCATCTTAGTACATGAGTAGCATCTCATAAGTTAACACACAGAGCAAATAGTAAGATATAATGAACCATCACACACCTATCATCCATTTTTTTTCTTTTTCAGAACCAGGGATTGAACTCAGACCCTTGTGCTTGCCAGGGAAGCACTTATTCTACTGAGCCATCTTCCCAGCCCTTCTATTAGTAATTTTGAAATATTCTATTTGCTGTGGATCATAGTTATCTTACTGGACAACTGCACTTCTTCACCCATTAACCATCACTTCCAGTTTTTCCCTCTTCCCATATCTTTCCAGGCTCTAGTAAACACTAGTCTATTCTCTACTTGTTTGAGCTTGGATAAGGCAGTCTTTCTTATGCTGGGTCAAAACACCCAACAACTGCTACTTAAAGGAGAGGCTCATGGTTTCAGTGGGTTCAGTCCCTGGTTGGCTGGGTCAAAAGCAGGAGCAGCACAATGGAAGGGCTTGGCAGAGAACACCTGCTCACTCCACAGCACCCAGGAGAAACATTGAGGGGAAGAGCCAAAGCTAAGAATATAAACATATCCTTCCAGGTCATCTTCCATGATTCACCTCTTCTAGCTAATACACATTCAACCTCCTGACAGCACATTCAACTATGAACTCATCAATGGATGATGCATCCACTGATAGCACCCTCACAATCCAAAAACCTCCCCAAAGCTCCACCTCTGAACACGAGATCCGGTAGGCATTTTGGATCTAAATCACCACACATAGCAACTTTAGCTTCCACACATATGTGAAAACATGCAGTATTTGTCTTTCTGTGCCTGACCTATTTATTTCTTCCAATTCCTTCCATATTGCTACAAAATAAGACTTCATTCTTTTTTGAGACTGGATGTTACTGTGCGTATACATATTTACCCACTCATCCACTGGTGGACACCTAGGCTGATTCTACATTTCAGCTACTGTACACAGAGTTGTAGTAAATATCGAAGTGTAGAGGGCTCCTCATACTGATTTTACTTCCTTCAGATACATACCAAGTCACAGAACACTGGATCATGTAGTAGTTCTATTTGTTTTAAAAAACTTTTATATTGTTTTCCATGAGAGCTGCCAAAAATTACATTCCTACCCAGTGTGCAAAAGTTCCCTTTTCTTGCATCCTTATATTATTACTCTTTATCTTTTTTAAAAATAGTCATTCTACTGGGGTGAGATAATTTATCATTGCAGTTTTGATTTGTCCTCCTCTGCTAACACTTGGTATTTTCTACTATTTTGTTCTTTTGAGACAGGGTCTCACTATGTTGTACTCACACAGTGATCCTCTTGCCTCAGCTTCTTTTTTTTTAAGATCTGATTTTTTTTTTTTTTTTGGCAGAACTGGGGATTGAACTCAGGCCCTTGCACTTGCCAGGGAAGCGCTTATTCCACTGAGCCATCTCCCCGGCCCCATGCCTCAGCTTCTTGAGTGTTAGGATTACAGGGGCCATCATGTCTGGTTTGTTGGTCATCTGCATGCACCCTCTTTTAAGAAACATCTGTTCAGATTGGCTTTTTTTTTTTTTTTTTTTTGAGATAGGATCTTGCTATGTAGCATAGACTGGCCTTGAATTCTAGGTGATCCTCCTATCTTAGCCTCCTGAGTGCTGGAATTACAGGTGTGAGCCACTGGACCAAGCAATCCTTCCATTTTTTAATGTAGCTTTTTTTTTTTTTTTTTAAACTGAGTTCCTTTTATATTCTAAAAATTAATTCCTTACATGATGAATAATTTATAAGTATTTTCTCTCTTTCTGTAGGCTCTCATTTGTGACTGTTTCACTTGCTGTACTAAAACTTGTTTTGATATAATCCCACTGGTCAATTCTTGCTTTCTCTGCCAATGCTGTTGGGTCATATTCTGCAAACCTTTCCCCACACCAACTTATTTAAGCGTTCCCTCTTCTTTCCCTTCATAGTTTCAAAGTTTCAGGTGAGATGATTTTTGTACATGGTATATGATATAGATCTGCTTTCTTTCTTCTGTACATAGGTACCCAGTTATCTGAGCTCTATTTATTTCCAGCACCATTTATTCAGAAGACTTCCTTTCTTCAGTTATACACTTGCTGCCTTTGTCAGTTGGTTGTAAATGTGTGGAACTTATTTCTGAGTTCTTTATTCCATTGGTCTCTGTGTCTGTTTGTATGCAAGTATGTGCTGTTCTGGTTACTATAAGTATGTAGTATTGTTTGTTTATTGAGAGAAGGTCTAACTATTGGCCTTGAACTACTGGAGTCAAGTGCTCCACCTCAACCTTCTGAGTACCTAGGACTATAAATGTCTCCCATGGTACCCATTTTGAAGTTTAAAAATATGGATCTTTAGCCAGATACAGTGGCATAAGGCTGTAATCTCAGCTACTCAGGAGGCTGAAGTAGAAGGATTGTAATCCAGGCTGGCCTTGAATTCTTAGTCTTAATATTTCTATCATCAATGCTTTACAATTCTCACAGTAGAGATAATTTGCTTCCTTAATTTATTCCTAGTGTGACAGTTAACTGTAACCCTAGTAAGGTATTTATTTAGCAAAGGAGACTTTTTTTTTGAGACTTCCTGAAGCAGTAGGAAAAACTAATGCCAAAGATTGAAGGAATTATCTGATTTGATCAGTGTTTTACACTAATAAAAATTCAGGCCAGAAATTGAGATGACCCTATATGACAAATAAACATTGTTAAGAGATTTTATTTTATTTATTTATATTTATTTTATTGTGGTACCGAGTTTGAACTCAGCACC